TCCTGCCGAATTCTTCTTTCTATCTCAACCCCCTGTCATTTCACAACAGGTTTACACTCTGTAACTATGCCACATATCCCATCATCCTTCAGGGCTCTGGTGTGTCTGGCATCACAGAGCCTCAGTGGGCGTTATGACTGGGTGGGCGTCTGATGAGAAAAGCCTGTTTTCTGGCAGCCGAATCATGCAGAAGGTGAGGGATCTATACTGGAACTTCACCTTTTACGTAAAACATCTCAGGGAAATATTTCTTCATTTCTAAGGACTGAGTTTTTAGCCCTATCCTTTCAGGAAATGTCCTGCAACATCCCAAATACAGTTTTAGGCTCTAATAAATTCCCTGAACTCTGTTTTCTGTTTCCTCCAGAAACAAACAAAAAATAAATTAATAAAAGGTTTAAAGTAAATGTTGGTTTCACCACACAGTTAAAAAAATAATATAATACATGGTTACACACAGCACAAAACAACAACAGGTACCAGTAAACACACAAAGAGTCGACAATAAGAGTGTAAAATATAAGTTAAAATGGCCTGTGTTAGCAGGTTGGGCTGCCCACCCTCTGGTAAATGGGTTCTTTGTTTTCCAGATTAGACCCTCATATGCTGCACACGTACAGTGGCGGAAGTCAGTTTTTGTCATTTCAGAAGAAGTTAGTTTGTCCAGGTCTCTGTAATGAGAGAGAGTCTTTTAGAGGAGAAACGGTCACAGCGGGAGAGGAGCAGCCTCTGAGGAGGAGGAGTTGTATTTGGGGGGATCTTTGAGGAGCAGTCATGCAGGAGAAGGAAGGTGGAGGTTTTGTTCCTGTGGTGGGAAATATCTGGTTGGCTGCTCCTGAGCACGCACTCACACACAGTGTTAAGTTCTTTATGGCCTTTGAAATAAATTCTGGTGTTTTTCAGAGTAAGAACAATTTCTAAGGCTGCATGATGACTTTCTTAATCAGGTGCCTTTTAGTGCTTGGTCAAACCACAGTGGGCCATGTACCATGTTCACTCAGCGCAGGTGTATGGGATCATCCAGACACCCTGAGGAAGGCAGCTGTGTGATACATGCTGCTGTGTTTTTTTTTTTTTTATGTGTTAGCCCATATTTATTAAAGGCCTTTTACCATCAACCATCCACTTGGGTGCCTGAATTGGATTTTTGGTCCCACGTCCCTTTCCCTTGATTTGTTGTATTGTTTTTTTTTTTTTAATTCCCCTTCAGGAGCCCCACTGGTGGTGAGGGGCACGTTTTGAATTATTTTGAAAGCACACAGGCAGAGATTTGTAAGACCCGGGAGTGTAATTCCAGCCATGCATGCAAAGGTTTCTGAGTAACACTCTCAGATTTCTACGCTGAGTTTTGTGTAAAAGTTGGCCCGTGCCAAAACTTTTGAAAGTGCACAAAACAAGTTTCAAGCACTATTCAGTTTGCAAAACAGAATTTGAGAGCATGCGGGCACAGATTTGTAAGAGCAGAAACACGTCTGAGAGCGAGGGAGGATCCCCGCTGCTCACACAATTCATCTGTTGTGCTCACAGTTCTGTCGTCCCTCTCTCGATAGACTTTCACACAAACCCCAGTGGAGAAATCTGAGAGCGCAGACTCGGAAGTGAGAACATGCACGGGCGGGATTACCCTCTCAAATCTGATTCTGCACTTAACATTTGTCTACGTGCTCTCAGACACTGAGCTGCAAACTGAGTAACACTCAAAATGTGGTTTGTGCGCTCTCAAACGTTTTGGCAGGGATGTATGTCTATAACTCACTGTTCACTATACACTCACAGTCGCCCACTAACCAGACATTAACAGATGTTTTACTACAGCTGCAACACTTAGTTTTATTATTACTTAATCCGCTGATTGCTTACTTGATAAATTGATGGATGGTTTTGTTTATGAAATGTCACAATAGGTTTTTAAAAAAATTTCCAGGGTGTTATATTCACGCGTCGTGTTTTGTCTGACCAACAGTTCAAAACCCAAAGATATCAAATTGACTTTGAATGATTGAAGTGCTGTATCCTCAATAGTTGTTAGTCATTTAGTTGACTAATCATTACAGCAGCTCTAATTTCTGCCCTGATCTCCTGTTGGATGACTGACTGCAGACCGTGCTCCGTCTCTTTTATAAAGCAGATTATTTTCCAGCGGAGCAGTTTTATAAAGCAGGGTGGAAGTGTGAACATTTGCTCCTGAGCTCAGTGAACTGCAGCAGGAAGGAGATCTGTGAGTCCTGGATCCAGCAGAGTAGCGTTCAAATGTTGTCATACTCGAGCTGAAATCATAACCTGAGTTCATGAGTTTTGTTTAAATAAAACGCAGTCTGAACGTTCTGATCAAAAATAAGTCAAGATTTTGAATCCATGGCACTTTGACAGATGCTCTGTCTGCATTAAAAGGCTCAGTACTTTGTTCTAACCCCGGTTTCTCAACTAGAACTTTTCTAGCTGCTTGTCCCTCAGCTCACGAGCAGTATGTTGATTAAAGGTCAGCTGTGAGGCACATCTGGAACTGGTTGGTTACCCCAAACAAAACGAGGAAGAGGACAAGTCTGCTACATGAACCTTAAACGCTGTAATTGAGGCAGTTCCTGTTTAATCAGATTCCTCTTTCTTTCTCCCTTGCAGGTCTGGTGATTAATCCATCTATCCTGACTCCTTCTCTTCTCTATGCTCCCTTTTTCCTGGCTTCCTGTGCTTCCTCATCTCTTCCTCCCTTCCTCTTTCTTCCTAACTTCCTCCTTCCCTGCAGCGCTGTGATTAATCACTGTCGATGTTCAGAAAACTGAGCCTGCAATTAGTTGTCCAATTACTGATTATGTGTGTATCTGTATTTGGGAATTCCCGAGGGAAATTTTCCCCTCTCTCTTTGGCATTTGAGTTTTGATGTTTACAGATTTGTAATTCACTTCTGTTCTTTGTTGTCATTTCTGAAAAGCAAACTACACCAGAGCTCAGTGTGTGGTTGCAGACTGTGTGCTAGATGTCCGACAGCTGCTCTTCAGTTCTTTTAATGAACTGGTCTTGTTTCTGTTTCTTCCTTTTACTTCTTTTCTTTTCTGTTGTTTACTGATGTGACTCAGTCTGTGCAGGCCTCAGGGTGTGTTTGGGGGGTTATAATGATTATTACTAGTGAGAAACACCTGGCAACAGGAAGGAAGAAAAGTCTCTCTTTCTGTCCGTCTGCCTAAAAAAATTGCCAGGTGTAAAGTCTGAAGGGTTGCCATCGGCTGTGGCAGTGGGGTTTTTCAAAAATGGCACGTGCCCATGCGTTCGACACACCGCGCCGGCCAGTGTATTTCTCTGTGATTCTGTCTTTTGGCCTGTCTGAGACTTAAGTTGACAGTCAAGCCTGAAACGTGGTTAAATCTGTGGGAGTATGAAATGAAGCACTGCAAAATACACCGGCCAGCGCAACATGTATAAGTTTAGGAAACACAAGCCACATGTGTGTGCACACAAACCAGAACAATAGAGGTGAAAGGAGAATCTGACTCTGGAAAAGAAGAAATGCTGCATTGTCAAACCCTAAGAGCAGCACAGATGGATGATGCTCACTCTTTTGTCCATGCTAATGCTACGATTCACCAGACATCAACTGCAAATGTAACATACCTCAAATTAATACTGTGCACTGACAGAGATGAAGTTAATATATTATTAGACCTATCTTGTATATTACATCATTGGTGCTGCATGAAAACAAGGCCAAAGCTGTAAAAGTGACTGAAGCTGAAACATGCCTCATGAGAATTCATGTCTTTGTGTAGGGACGGGCAGGTAGGCATTCTGGGTAACGAGCTCACAAGGGAGTTGGTGTTTGCACTTCACCTTATCTCAGTTCTCATCAGGTGTTACTGAATCTGTTGTGCTTTGTACTGGGTGGGTGGATGCAAGGATATCCAGGCCCGCTCAGTTACACAGAACCAAACACTGGCTGAGTCCCTCACCTTCTTGGGTGCCAGCTTTTACTGTACAAACAGCGTATTTGGCTGATGCTTCTGGAAGATTTCCACTACTGACGCCACCCGAGGGACTATTTCATTACAGAACTAGAATTACATGATGTTGTCTCTGCTCTGCTTAGTTAGGGCAGCAGCTGTTAGCAACAGGCTAACAGCTGCGTTTTGATAATGAGATGCCTGCAAATACTGAATTCATTCCTTTGATTTTGTATGGCCATTGCTTTTTTTTTTTTTCTTTACACATTTGTCCATTTGTTATGAAGCTACGGTGGCTGTTGTTTCAGCAGCTCTGGACAGTTTTGCTGCACATACAACCAAGGCTAATGTTGTCCAGAAATAACAATAATAAGAAAGAACACAGAACATTTTTCAAGCAAAAATTATAGTTCTGGCACCCAAGAAGGTGAGGGACTCAGCCAGTGTTTGTGAGAATTTACTGCTTTACTGCATTCTACATTGATTGTTTAGAGTTTTGGTTTGTTGGCCAGGCGAAGCAAAGTATTGACATTTTTCACTATTTTCTCTCTTTTGTTAAAAACACCAAACATTTGATTGTAATTGTTCTCTCTCTCTCTCTCTGTCAGGTGCAGTCTGGTGCAGATGGAGGTCGCAGGTTGGCCGTCACCTTCAGAGCTGACAGTGAGTTTCTCTCTAACTCTAGATCTTGGTGACCTGATTCATTCTGTGGTTTGCCTTGAATTCACAGGTGTATAAATACCCAGATGGGGACACTGCTTCAAATGACCTTGGTATTTTGGTATCAAAACTTTATTTTCCACCGTGTTGCCCAGATCCTCAAACCTCCTCACCTCCGTGTTTCCACCCCCACAAACCTCCTCTTCCACCGACCTCCTCCTGCTCTTTGTTTTTTGTTCTTTTCTTTCTAAAAGTCAAGTTCCTGAGCCGTGGCCGATCCCTCCTCTCGCCTTTGTCCCTGACCATGAGCGAGAAGCACTTTTAGGCTCCTCATTATGTGTGTGTGTGTGTGTGTGTGTGTGTGTGCATGCATAGAGACACTGTAGCCCTTTTCAAACATGGAATATGTAACATTGCTGGTGACATCTTTCTGTCTTTTAGTCATAGGTCACTTTTAATGTTAATGTTGCTCACCGATTCATTCAGACATGAGAAAGCCATGGTACGCGTGCACGGTATTTGCAATATGCACAAGATCATCATAATCTTGTGAAACAAATGTTAGTACATCGGACCTAATAAGATTGTTGTCACAGGTTTTAGGGAAAAGTGAGCAGGGTGCTCACTGGGGCATGAAGCTGACACATTCAGATGGCGCCAGATTAATGGAAAGAATGCACGTCTGAAAGGGGCTTTTGTGTGTGTTTGCAGATTTCAGGGAACCCCTATATCAAACTGCAATTGAACTGTTCAGAGTTCTAAACCGAGTTTCCTCATAAAAACAAAGAGAATTAAAAATAACACTCAGGTGCAGCAGTGCTAAGACTGTGTATTAGCTACAAGTAATGAGTGTGTGATTAGTTAAGACAAACAGATTCTGAATATGATTCCAACATTGATAATCAGTCATCTTTTTTTTGGTAATGAATTATTACTCCAGCTCCTGACATATGAATAAAAAAGACTTTATTTTAAACAGATTAATGCAGCCATACATTGCACAAATTCAACAATGGATTCACGTGAGAATTGCAGTTAGGGCTACAACTTTTACAATTATTTTAATTATTGATTAAATGTAAAAAAAAAATAAAAAATAAAAAAGGTATTTTTGCAAAAATTGATGAATCAACTAATAATTTCAGCTCTAATCACAACTTTTGCCTTCTGTGATTCTGATTTGATTCAAAGATGCCAGGAATAGATTATTGAACTTTTGTAAATAAAGGCGGATTTTCTGAAAAATCCTGAAGTTCCCAAAGATTCCCACTCCTGCCTTTGGATACATCCAGGCTTAGTGTTCGCCCCTTTTTTCAGCCTTTATGCTAAGATAACCCAACCATCTTCTATTTCTCTTGGCTAGAAGATGAGTCTTTTTCCCAAAATGTGAAACGGTTCCTTTAAATACAGCATATTATCATGACAGATCAGTGTTTGCATCAGGTTTCTCCCAGTGAACTTAAACGTTCAGCTGCTTCCACACCTCTCTTTCTCTATGGAAACAATTCACTTTCATTTAATCTAATCTTAATACATATTACGCTGTTGGTAATGTGGAGGTCAGGGGTCATAAGGTCATGTGACTCTGAAATGATCATGCATCCTCATCTTTAGAACAGATGAAATGAAAAGTGTTGAAACCCAGACACAAGCCAGAGTAAAGCATTGAAGTGTTTTAGCATGACAATCACAACTAGCTCATTGTGTGTGCGTACTGAGGTGTGTGTGTGTGAGGGAGTGATGACACACCTCACTGCTTCCTTTCCTGGGAACCTCCAGCTGTTGGAAGATGGAGGAGAGTTTCCTTCTTCTCTCTCCGAGTCTGTTTGCAGCGATGTAATGGGGAATATAAAGCAGCAGGTCACCGCTTTGTCCTCTGTATGTCTTATTCCACAGCTCCACTGTTGTTCAGAAACTATTGAAAACACATCAGTGAGCCACGCTGTTGCGCTGGGTGACGTGTTCCTTCTAGAGATGCACCAATCAATCGGTGGAGATCGAAAACGGTCGGCCTTGACCGGCGACCAGGCGATCACTGAGTCTGTGCCCGTCACATTTAGAGGCACTACAGTCTATGTTGCAAATGCAGTGGCTTTGTTGAAGACTGCAACAATGAAGCATTTTCACTTTACTACAACTTCAAACTGTGCCTCCAGCTGACTGCTTCATTATAGCAACAGCAGCGGAGGATCATGGGTATTATAGTATTTAAAGCAGTTCACCAAACCATGCTGACAAAAACCTATTTCACAGAAACAAATAATTGAATATGATGGCCATGACATGTAGCTATAGAAACATACATTTATTTAGGATAATCACTCATTGATGGTAAGAGGAGGAGGAGGAGGAGGAGGAGATGAGAAGCAAGCAGCTGCTTCCTTGGACCTCCCCTTCCTTCCCTGATTCATCTCTGGAGGCTTTCAAATAGAGCAGGAGGAAGAAAGGGCTGCAACAAAAATGACTTTTTATCCATTATACTTATGATTATTTCCTTAGTTAATCACTTAACTGTTTGGTGTATAAAATATTAGAACAAATCCTGGAGGTGACATTAAATTCTCATTTTGTCCAGATGTTTGAGAACCTGTAACCATCAAGTAGTCGACAGTTTTACTAAAGTTTTAAACGTTCAATCGATTGTCCAAGTTTCTGATTTTCATTGAACTAACTCATCGTTGCACCTCCAACTCTTTGCTTCTTAAACTGGAAGGACAACATGAGGAAGAGGATTAAGAAGAAGGTGAAGACAAAAGATGAAGGTTCTCTTCTTCATCTAGTAGTGAACATATCCTTTGAACCTTCACATCTCTCTTTCTTTTTCCTCTTCCTCCTCTTTTATAAAGAAACTCTGAAAACAAAAAGGAGGAAGAGGAGTAACACACTGCAACCTTCCTCATCTTATACCATATAGAGGAGCTTTATGGTGATGGAGGAGGAAGAAGAGCAACCAACTGTGACCTTTGCCTTTAGCCCTGAACATGACCTCGCTTTGAGGAGGATGAGAAGGCAAGATGAAGAGGAGCAGTGACTCGTGTCATATCCCAAGCTCCCATAACCTCCTTGCCTCTGTCCCATCTTCTTCTTCCTCTTCCTCACCTCAGTCCTCTTCATCAATAGGAGGAAAGAGGAGCAGTCACTCGTGTCTGAGCTCACGCCCCTTTTCTTTTCTACATCCTAAGTCCATCTTTTCTCCTCCGATCCCTCGTGGTTCATGGTTGGCTGCTCCTCTTCCTCCTCCTCTTCCTTCCATAAGATAAAACCAGAGAGGAAGGGGGGGGGGGGGCAGAGTGTTGTTTCACTGAGTGAGTGAAAGTGTGCAGATCTGGCTCCAACAGCTATGGAAGTACATTTTCTCAAGTAGTACACCTAAGTACAGTTCTGAGGTGCTTGTACGTATTTACAAGTATTCTCATGTTCTAGCTACTTTATGCCTCTTATGTTACTGCAGTACAGAAGTAAATGTACTTTTAACTCCATTACATTTACCTGATAACGTTTTAGTTAGTAGTTACTTTTCAGAATCTATAGATTACTTTGCTAGCTGTAATATATATATATATATTATTAATATAATTATTACTGTTAGCCTTAACTTTCCCAGCTACATCACTGAAGTGATGTTCACATTATTGCATCAGTAGTTATAATGGAATAATATCCTATAATGAGTATTTTTACTTTTGGCTTTTGTTTTTAACCAGCATTTTGCTACTTGTGTACTTAAGGCCATTTTTTAATGCTTTTACACTGTGGTACTGCTACTGTTACTCACATAACCTGCCTGGTTGCTCCTTCCACTACCACTGGCTAATTCTAACAGCATGTTTTCTGTTTTCAACGTGTTTCAGGTGTTTAATGTCAAACACAGCTGTTCATTTTTTGTACAGATGTGCCATGCTTTTCTCATGTCTGGCTGTCTGCCACCTAATATTGTCTATGACAAAATGACATTCACTCCACAAGCCTGTTTGATCAAAACAAGCTACTTTATTCAAAACCCTTTGATTGACTGCATCAATCCAGCAAGTTCTACAACAAACTTGTCCCAGGCAGCAAAATCTGAAGACTGTTGAATCCTTGTTCCCTCTGAGGTGACTGTTCTCCTGAGGTTGCCTTCATTTGAGCTTTTTCAATGAGACAACACTTACAGTACATCTCAGTGTTTTGCAGTTTGCGTATTTGATGTGCATCACAGTGCTGAAATGCTGTAGCAGAGAGAGAGACATGAAGACAATGATGCTGATTTGGCTTTGTGTGTAGAGCTGTTTTTGAAGTAATGCAGCAACTGGTGATACAATATGTAATCATTTGTCATCTCTTTTTATCTTTGTTTCTCTCTATGTCCGTGCAGACTGTTCATTGAACTACCCACTGGGGAAGCATGTGATCCATGAGGTCACTGACATTTCCTTCAGCCATCTAGCCTGCGAGGATCAGGCCGCCGTGGTCGTCCACTGGTCTGCAAGTCCACTAGGTACCTGTCCCTGTCTTTACCTGTCTAGCTGTGTTTCCACTGTTGGGACCTAACAAGCAGTACCCCCCTTGCTCGTCAACCCTGCGGGTTGACACAGACTGCCCTGCTTGGCTTTTCCACTGTATTTTTCACTGAGTCTGGCTCTGTTTAGAGGAGGGAGGGCTGCTTTGCCTGTGATCAACTTGCTGAAATCCCCATTTCCCTAAACCAGCAAGTTAAGTCCTCTATCATTTTACCTTTAAACCAGTGTGTGTGTGTGTGTGTGTGTGTTTACACACCATACATGCGATACTAATGGCCGAGGTGTGAAGACACTGGCATTTAACCAGTCATAGGTGATAGCTCTTTGTGCACCCACCCTCTCCACCCTCATCTTCCTGGAACTAAATTTTAGTACTACCTCCTGAGGAGTGCTGACATTTAGCTCCCGGAGCACACCTCCAAAGTGGGCGGAGGTCAGTGGAAACCAATTGTAGGACCTGAGCATTACACTGCTGCTTAGAGAGGAGAGGTAAAGTGAGGGAACAGGAAAGAAAAACCTTCAAAGTGTTCAAATCCGTAAGATTACCCAGCACTGTGTGTGCGTGCGTGTCTCTTTGATCAGGCCCAGAGAGAAGAGGATCACATCTCGCACAACAATACCACTATTTTACCGTAAAGGAATGTGGATTGGTGTGTGTGCTCAGTGTAAGGTGAACCTCTCTCACAGTGACAATACAGCCTGTTTTCTCACAGATAGACAGATTGTGCAGAAATGTTCCATGTCAGAGTCACATGTGAACAGCAGTCATCTAGAAAAAATGAACTGGTCACATTTCCTTCTCAAGGCTTGCTCGGCTTCCTCTTGCTGTTGTACCTGGTACTTTTTACCAAACTGACTCTGAGAGACGAGACAGTCCAAGTAACTTCAAAACAGTGCTGATTTATTCAAAGGATCACAGGTAAAATTAACATTACACGCTCAGGTATCTTGCACCTCCAACATGCACGCAGGCAGATGTAAGATGAAAGACCCTGAACCCACCAGGCCTATACATTATATCCCCTCGGTTGGGCTAGCCCCATACTACACAGAAACGTCAACCGAGACGTCTCTGTTACCAGCTCTGCAGCTGGCCATAGCAGTAGTCAAAACATGAAGCAAATCAATGTGTGTGTGTCTGTTGATTAAGTGGTGTGTAGCTAAAAACATTCTCACGACCTCTAGTAACATGTCGTGACTTAAACATAAGAACATATTATGGCTAAGGCTACAGTTATACACGTCATAATAATAATATTAAACACCCTGTCTGCTGACAGTCATCAACTCTTCTCTCTAGTTATCCTTGACCAGATGTACCCTGTAGAAACTCATAAGCATGACTAAGCATTTAACAGTCTAACTAGACATCCTATCTCCACTAAACATTTCTAATACATAAAGTATCTATCCAATATCTATCTGACTAAAAATACCTAACATTGCCTTTCAGAACTGAAAGTTTAAAGTAATAGATGGAAAAGTGTTTCTTTTCCAAAGTGGTTTCTTTAGCTGCTTAAAATGTTCCCGGTACTTAGTGGATCGTGCTGCAACGGGACAGAAGATAAAATAGATCCGTAACTTGCCAAAAGCCACAGGTATTTTCCAAATTGTGCCCTTCTCTTCTTAACAGTGGCCTTGTGGTGAGTGGTGTTGGTTTAAACTCATGTTGTGCAGTCAAATGTCATTTAAATCCAAAGAACTTTATTTTAAATTTGAGCAGACACCCCAAAGATATCAAATCTGTCAATTAGATTGTTGTTTAAAGGTGATTAAAATGATGCAAAGTGCATGTGGAATATTTCCATTTGATGGAGTTTTGGCCTAGAATATGTCACTCAGTGTAAATATAACTACAATGGGAGGTGTCCTGCAGCAACAGATGCTGGTCTAGGAGTCACATGACATGCCATATGACTCTTTAGCTATAAAACTGTCCAGAGTTCAAGGTCTGAGTCTGAGACCATGTCAGAGAATTGAATAGGAAAGGAAGGAAGGAAACGCACAGAAGAAGAAAGGAGGAAAGCTGTGAAACAAGGAGAGAAGGAAAGGAAAGTAAACAAGATGAGGAAAAGAGAGACACAAAAGGAAATAAGGAGAAAGGGCAGGAATAGGAATGAGGAGAAGACAGGTGGAGTGAGGAAAGGAAAGGACAGGAGGAGATAAGACGGAAAAGCTACTAAATAAGGAAAGGATTCAAGTAGAGGAGAACTGGAGGGAAAACAGGAGAAAGAGGAAGACAGGGAACATGGAGAGGAAAGGATTTAAGTAAAAGGAGGAGAGGAGAAAGGAGGAGTGCAGGGAAAGGGAATGGAGAAAAGAGAGAAAGAAACAAGGGGGCTAAGTAAGAAAATGAAACAAATGAACAGTGGACAAGAGGAGATGAAATTTGGCAAGGAGATGAAGGAAGGAAATGAAAACTGAGTAAAGTTGAAATGGGAACAAGAGGAGAAAAAGCAGAGAGAAGGGGTACACAGTGAAGAAAGTAAAAAAGAGATTATGTGAACAAGGTGTTGAGAGAGGAGGAGAAGAAGAAAACAAGGAGAGGAGGTGGATCATTGTCTGAGGATGGTGAAGCTGAACTTTCTGTTTCTCTCCAGGGATCGAACACATCAGAGGCTTCAGAGTTTATTTGGAGGACAAGAGTCCAGAAGGGAAACGGTGTCAACATCTTATCCTCAAAGACCCACGACAGCTCAACTTCTCCTACAGGAACACGGTAGGGCCAAAATTAACGACAGCACAGCCTGGAATATATTTTGTTTATTTCTGGATCGTACTTCCTCTGAATGGTAAACAGACTGTAGCTTCTTGTTTCCTTCACTGACCTTTAATGTCCATCACAGAGACGGATCCTGTTCACATCTCAGTTTTACCAGACTCTCTGTTATTTACTGATGGTGTATCATTGTGCTCGTCACACAGAAGCTGAGCAGTCAGCCATTCAGCGGTTTGACCTTTGATACCGACTACATGGTTCGTGTTGTTCCTTTCCCGACTCTGATGAATGAGAGCTTTTTCCCTCCATCCTTCCTCAGGACCAACTGTGAGTCCCATACTCCCCTCATTCAAACAGCATTAATTAGTCAGCTGATTAACTGAATTGTGAAGTGATTAATACCTTTTGAGATGTTTCCAACAGACCGATCCTTCCTGCTGCTCCTGTGATTCAAATGACAGTTTAGTCTGTCAGTTGGAAACAAAAATTTTGAAAACCTAACATGAACAATTTTGTTACATGTGTGTGTTTTTTCAGACCACACAAAACACGTTAGCTTAGTGGTAGCACTGGCTGCTATGCAGAAATCTCTTAAATCTATCTTATAAATATTGCTCAGTTAAACCGTTCCCAGCATCCAGACATGTCCCCAGTGAAAAAGAGTCAAAGTACTGAACCAGTTGCTTTGTATCGCAGAGGTCACAAGCAAACAAGGCTGGGAGCAGCTGGCTTAAAGGAGCTCGTTCATGTTTTGGAAAAAGTGCTTCCTTTTGCCTTACATAAAGTCATATGATAGCATCCTGGGTGTGGTTAGCGTAGCTTAGCACAAATACGTCTTCTGAACCACAGATGTCAATAGGTGGTGCATAACAGAGCAAACATGGCTGCTGTATCAGCTTCCCTTTATTTCTCTGTAACACACTGCTGTATCTTTTTTTTGTTTTGGTTTGCTCTAAGACAGTCGAAGCACACAAACCCCAGTACAGTATGGGTATGGGACGTTTATTGGTGGCAGTGGAATGATGGCATTGGTATATTACCCAAAATGTCAAGACTTCCCCTTTAAATGTGTCAGATCATTGAGCTGAACAATGATAAGTGAAACAAACGGGGACAAACTGTCTGACCGTGTGTGTGTGTGTGTGTGTGTGTGTGTGTTCATCTTCCAGCATGTGAAGTTCTCCTGGGATCAGACAGCCTGGTTTGCAAACCATGTAAGTTCCTCAGTGTTGTCGTCATAACCAGAGCCACATGTAGACAGAGTTAGTCCAGGTGCTGGTTGCACAAAGTCACTGGTCTGCAGAATTTGGTCACTCTCTGTCTTGAGCCCCTTTTCCACCAACTGGTACCGGCTCAATTCGACTTGACTCTACACACCTTATAGTTTTTCCATCAGTCAAATGTTGGGGATAGTACCTAGTACCAAGTACTATTTTTGGTATCACTTCTGTCGAGGTTCCAAGAAAGCTAAGGTGATACGAAACAGTGATGTGTAGACACTGCAGACTACCGATTGGTCGGAGAAATTTATCATTACTACCTGGCCATCTTGCCACCGATGAACCTGAATGTTTACATGTGATGATACCAGTTGCTTGTTCTTCATTCATTCATAATAGTAGCTGCCACTTGTCTCTCACGAGTGTTATAGAGGGTAAAATGTATGGTCACAGAGTTGAATAGAGTAGAGCTGAGACGGTACAAGGCAAAAGGGGCTTTATTCCACTCAGCTACTCTCACTTATTTACTCTATTGGTGTTTTAGTTTATTTGTACTGTATAATTTAAGTACAATTAGTGCATGTCCATAAGTGTGGAGGTGAAGTTGTTTCTGTTTGTCTGTGCAGTTTGGAAGCCAAAGACCCTGAATGTGTCTCAGCTGGGCTCGAACCTCCACGTGGTGTTTGACCAGGCTCCGACCTCCTTTGGCTTCAGCTTTTACTCGCTGTTCTACAAACTGCGGCAGGATGGACCCTTCAAGTTGCAACGTTGCAAACCAGTAGGACCAAAATAATGTTTTTA